TAGATTCTGTTACTCTTTTTGTCCCCATCCTTTAAATGTATCCATAATTTAATCTGTCCATGATAGCACTTGCCAGTAATCTCAACACTCAGGACTCTGAGGCAAAAGGATGAGGAATTCAAGGCCAGACTCTGCTACAAATGAGTTTGAGAACAAACTGCGAGCAGATTCACAAATTTAACATTTTGCTTATAATTAATTCTTAGATCTAGAAATCCTAGGGTTATTCTTGGCCGCCTGATAACTGTGTGCAGTCACCATTAACCACCACCTATGCAGTGCTGCTCCCAATATCTGAAACTTAATTTCATTATTCTCCCTATATGTGATTCCATCTCCCAAACAAACTCCATTTATCAATTACTCATCTCTGGTCAAATGAAATTATGGTATTTTCCCCACCCAGGACCTATAGATGTCCAATTAACAGCAAAGAGGCACTATAATTGAATAGTCTAAATGCTTCATCATAATCAGAGACACATATGGCAGTCAGACGGATGGTCACCAAATCCAATTCCCAGCCTTAGAAGCCAGTAGAAATTCTAGAGAAGAAACTAAAGCCTATTTCAAGCCACTCCTTTGCCTCTTCCATGCAAACACACACACACACACACACACACACACACACACACACGCACACTGACCACCTCCACATTTCATAGTAATACTTAGCTGTGGTCAACACCATGAAATCTATTTTCAAAAGCATCAAAATGCAGTCTTGCAACTGGGAAAGTCTGAGAACCACAAGGTAAGGTGGTGGTTAGCCCACAAGGGCTAGGGATTTTCTATTTCTCATTATACATGCTTTTCTATGTTGTTCTTTGAGAATATTTAATATTTGATCTTCTATATATGATTTAATCCTGAACTAAGTGACCAGCCAAGTGTCTGTTTACTTGAAAAACAGAGTTAAATGATTCCTTTTACCCACAACACCACATAGCAATTTTGTAAAACTGTACCACATTATAACTACATATGCTTAGGTAGGTGACAGGAAGCTGCCTCTAACAGAACTCACTGCTTTGCATCATTTACCACTCATTAAATAATCAAGATCACAGATACATACTAAAATAGCCAATACATGTAGTTCTTACAAATGTGCCAACCTGATGTCAACAAGGACTGAAGACCAAAGAAACCCTGAGCTATTTTCGTATTCAAAAGAAATACTTCACACTAGAAAATGCACAATAAATTTTTTATTAAGTGAGGCTTTCTGGAAATCAGCCTTTCTCACTTCCATTTTTAAGTCACATTTATCATTTGGCTCTTATCTGAGCAGGCTCTTAAAAGCATGCCCTCAGAGAAAGGATACAACCTCAGTTTGCAGATATATTCATATTTGTTTTCTTTGTTTTGTTTGCAGCCCTGGAGGTGGAGCCCACGGTCTTACACTGGACAAATGCTCTGCAACAGAGCTGCGTTCCCAGACAACCAGAAATCATTCCATAGTCCACTTCTAGGAGTGGGCAAATAGAACATTCTTAAACATGACTTTGGAGACCACTTCTTAATTTGATAGTCCAAGCTCTGTCTACTTCAGAAAATTTTCTAAAGATGCCAGCCTGACATAATAAAAATTCACTTTAACACAATTCATGAGGAAATGTGGGGTCATAGTTGGATAGTAGGGAGCCAGTGAAGTCCTGAGGGAATGTGTGTTGTTAATGTGGTCACGGCCAAGACTTCCCTCCTGGTTTGTGTGTGGATATTGATACTGTGTGTAGAAAATGTCTACTGTAACTTTGTCTCCTCACTCAATATTTACAGCCTGAGGCTGCTTCCCCACAGAGACTGGTCCTACCATGATTACCTTGACCCCGTGTCCTTGACTCTGCTGTATGCCATAACCCTGACTCCTTATTCAACTCTATATAATAAACACACTGAGCTTGGGGGCGCTGCAGTTTCTGCATCAGAGAGGCCACACCACCCAACCTCAGCTTTCCTCTATTATGTGTCTGACCTTTCTTTATTCCCTCATGACTTCAATCAGGGTTTTGGACTTAGCCCATTGAAAATAATGTCTTAAGCCTGATATTCCAGATTTGATCCCCAGCTCACTTCTACTTGACTGTGTGGCTTTTGGAAAGTTACTTAATCTCTGTAGTAGGCTTCAATTTCCTCATCTATTGAATGGGTCGTGTTATATGACTTTGTCCTGGGTTCCATGGTCTTTTTTTTACTTTAATTGCATGCCTAATGCCCACAGCAGGGGATCTCAAGTATTATTCTCATGCTCTCTTATTTTCTGTTTGTTTTTTGAATGTATCTGTGACTTGAAACTAACAGAACAAAAGTGTAAGACAAGCAGTAGGCAAATCAAAATCTGTCTGGTAAGTTTTTCCTGAATCAAGTATGGTACCAGGCATGTAGCCACATTGTACAGAAAATTTAATAATGCATGTACACATATACATGATCCAGAATTATGTATAAAAGTATTTAAAAGTTAGACATCAAATGGTAACTTTGGTTAGCAACAGGTTACAAAACTATTTTGACTTATTTTCCTTCTCTGTACTTTTCTGAACCTTTCCAAACTTATATAATTGATAAATTTAAAAGTCAGAACTTTTAAAAAACAAACACATTTTCCCAAACACATTTTCCTAGAAAACATTGATATTTTCTATATTTCTAATGAAGTTATGTTAAGTGCAACTTCTGCAATGATGTAAAATAAAGATTACTGCAACACCTCCCAGCAGTGCATCTGTTGCTACTAGGTGGCAGTAAGCAGAAGCTGTGTTGTGGACTTGCTACACAGAGACGATTCATAAGTGTCCTGGCCTAGACAGAGCAGGACCAAGAGAATCCATCATGGTACTCAGAACAGCACCTGACTTAAAATTTACAAATATTAAACTAGGCGGTGGGGGCGCACACCTTTAGTCCCAGCACTCGAGAGGCAGAGGCAGGCAGATCTCTGAGTTTGAGGCCACCCTGGTCTACAGAGAAACTTCTAGGACAGGCTCCAAAGCTACAAAGAAACCCTTTCTCAAAAAACCAAAAAGAACTAAAAATATAATTAAAAAAAAAGTTGTTGCAAAGTTTTCTTGTCCCTCCAGGTCTGCCTTCCTTCTCAGCCCCAAATAAACACACCAAGCAAAAACTGTTGGCCGGTTGTTTAGGCTTCTAACTGGCTAGCTCTGTCTTAATTATTAATCCATTTCTATTAATCTACGTATTTCCCTGTTGTCTTAGCTTACCAGAGATTGACTGGACCTTTGGCAGGCTACATGCATCTGTTTCTGGTGGGCTCTCGCTGTCTACCTCTCCCAGAATTCTCCTTGAGTCTGGTAGCCCTGCCTATCCTTCCTGCCTGGCCATTAGCCAAACAGTGTTTTATTCATTAACCAATAAGAAAAACATACAGAAGGACATCCCTCATCAAGAAGACAATGCCGTTCAACTGTTAAGAGGCTTTTACTGGCATAATCTTTGCCATAATAACTCTGGGACCCAACTCCTTACTTGCTGAGGCTACCTACAGCATAAGATAGAGAGGAAGCAGAGTGACTCAGATACATAGACACTGTTAAGGAAGAAGTATGAAACTAAGGGCTGGTCACCTGAGGTCAATAGCCCACAGATCCCAGAGCAAGGCATCAAATGGAGTTCAAGGGAGGACTCCTGGTCCAGCAAGTTATCTGGAATGTGGAACAATAAAGAGCGGTCAATGTAGATGATTCTGCCAAAGAGGGTATGCCCATAGAGTCTCCACTTATAAGGCATCGGTATGTTTCAACAAACAAGCCCCACACCCCACTTTCTCATGGGGGCAAGGAATCTAACACACCCTAAGATTAGGATGGTGACAGACCTGGAAATAACTGTGCCCCCACTGGAGGGCTGGTGAACAAAAAGAACTTCTGAAAATAAAACCAGAAGTCCCATTGAGGACTTGGTCCCTTTAGTTGCTCCATATTAGAGGACACCGGTTCACATCTAGGCCCTTCCTCT